GGAGGCCTTTAGTGCCTGCGTCGAAAATAATATTGCAGAAATAAGATCTGCCTTCAGTCTATGTTTGCTTCAAACAATTAAACAGTGCCACTGCTGGATGCAAAAACTGCCGTCTCTGTTACGTCGCTGACTAAGCGAGGTACAGTTCGGTCCCTGGCTGATACGAATTCAAAAACTTTGCAAGAAAACCCCGCACCCCCTGCGGCGCGCAAACCATCGACCCCGCGTACCCGCAAGTTGTACTGCTCTAAAGAAACCATCGATCTTGAGGAGAATACATACTTTATTTTATCTGACGACAGCGGGCATAATTGTCGCGCCATTATCAGGTCCGCATCCGACACTGACGAGGCAATTGTGGCAATTAATGAGTCTAGCGTGAAGTGTCAGGCCAGTACCGCACCAATTAAGACCCAAGCGGTGGCTACGGAATTGGGTAATTATCCTACGTATGCAGATGACCACTATGAACTATAAATACCGTGCAACCTGTGCATGTTTCAACCCTATCTGCGCATAACTATGACTATCCTACCGTTAGCTATGATTAAGGATTCCTGACGGAATCCGAAACGTCAGGAAAATAAAACTGTTGGTCCAGTGGTTGCATCCTCTTCTTCAGAACTGCTTCCTGGAACTCGCATGTTGTCCACTATTGGCTACCTATTTTTACTTATTAGTTGATGAATAGTTCGTTCTACCGAAAATGATCAAAGTAGAGGAACAACTTTATGTTATTTCATTTATTTAAGGCCTAATATAACTGACAGTAGTGGAGGAAAATATGATACAATGACAAAATAGTGAAAAACAGTAGAAATGAAACGTTGTAGTATTTTTTATATTGTCCTTCTGTGTATACAACTGGTGTAAGTCGGGTGGACATAGAGTCTATCGAGATGTCAATGGTGGTTTGGTCCACAAAATCACAAAGACCAACTCCTACCTTTGCTTCATTTAAATGTATTAATTCACCTTGTCTCGGTTCCTTCGGATTAGCGCAAGCATATTTCCGATAAGTGGTTGAGGCTAAGACTGTTGACAAGAATAAGACCTTTTTCGCAGGGCACAGGTGCACAGGCTGACTATGCCCTAAAATTATATTATATTCGCAAACTAAATTCTAATCATACCTCCCTTGATTGGTGAACAGGGGCATTATTTGCAGC